CATAAAAAGGACATGGAACTGTTGGAACAAGTCCAGAGGAGGCCACGAGGATGAGCAGGGGCTGGAGCAGCTCCTGTATGGAGCCAGGCTGAGAACATTGGGGCTGTTGAGCCTGGAGAAGAGAAGCTGCGTGGAGACCTCAGAGCAGCTTCCAGTGTGTGAAGGGGGCTGCAAGGATGCTGGGGAGGGACTCTTCATCAGGGACTGTAGTGATAGGACAAGGGGTGATGGGTTCAGACTGAAACAGGGGAAGTTTAGATTGGATACAAGGAAGAAGTTCTTTCCTGTGAGGGTGCTGAGGCACTGGAATGGGTTGCCCAGGGAGGTTGTGAATGCTCCATCCCTGGCAGTGTTCAAGGCCAGGTTGGACAGAGCCTTGGGTGCCATGGTTTAGTGTGAGGTGTCCCTGCCCATGGCAGGGGGTTGGAACTGGATGATCTTAAGGTCCTTTCCAACCCAAAGCATTCCATGATCCTAAACGATGCTGTGGTGAGTCTTTAACCTCACTGGCACCATTTTGGTGGGTCTATGAAGCCATGCTGGTTGGCAGAGGCGAGGGTGACCTCTGAGCAGCAGTTAGGGACAAACAGGAGACAAGAGCATCTTCACTTGGGGTCTCTGAAGACCAAACAGTGCATGTGAGTGAATGGAAACAGCAATGGAAAACACGGGAGGCTCGGAGGAGCAGAGCTGTGGCCACTGGCTCCGAGATGGGTCAGAAGATGATGAGGACCAAGAGAAGCACAACAGAAACCCACAGCTGCTCCCAGCCGTGTCCCCAGGCCCAGGCAGGAGCTTCCTTAAGCACCTCCTCAATGCACCCTGATGCACTCAGCCTCACACGGGCCTCCCCTTGGTTCTCTTCCTCCTTGCCTTGGGAATGCGCTTCTCGGAGTCAATGAATGCACCAGGGGGCAGGAGCGGCTCTGCCTATGGGTCACATCCACCGGGATCCTGCCTGAACGAACTCAGCCTGAGTGACTCCATCCCAGCACGCTCCGAGGAAGGTTCCCGATGGAATCCCGGGTAGGCAGCTTGGCTGATCCTTCCAAGGCATCACACAGATGTAGTCCCACGGGTTGAGATAAGAACAGTTTAGTAACTAAGGGGAATACATCATCTGTCCAACCCTGCAGTCTTGGCCTTGCAGGTAACCGTCAGATCCCACATTTTCAATATACCATCACTCTTATCTCAGTGAATGTTTGACCTTGCAGGTAACCGTAGCTGCGGTAGCTGCTGTGTGCAGGGCTCGATGCTGGTGTCCCGGGTAGGCAGCTTGGCTGATCCTTCCAAGGCATCACACAGGAACCTGCAACTGATGGAACAGGTATCATGGAAAAAGAAATCCATGGCTTCAGGCTTCCCAGCACCAGGCCAGGAGACCTCTCCATCACTGCACATCATGGAGACCCAGCCGGGTGTCAGCAGGGAGGACCAGTCCGGTTCAAACCCCACCAGGGCAAGGAAGGAGGTGACCTGTGAGCTCCACCCAGCCCTATGGGAGAAGGGAACGATTCCAAAAACACATCCAAGGATGCATCTTTGGGATGGGCTTTTTCACCTGGGCTTGTGCAGCTCCGAAGCTGAGGCCCATGTGTCGAAGCCCTTCCTGCTTCCAAGGATTCACATCAGTGCATGCCGGCAGAGCAGCCGATAGTCCCGCTGTTCCGGGGGGGCTCTGGACACAACCTGCCTGGAAGGAGGATGGGATGAGGGCAGGCCGGGACAGCTCCATCACCCCGCTGGGATATCCCAGCCTTGCCAAAGTCAACAGGAATTTGGTCCCGGACCTCACCAGAGCCAAGACCTTTGCATCCGCCTGCGTCTCTCCATGGGCTGGGTCGGTTCCCTTTGCCAGGCACCTGTTCCACAGCCACCACCTTTGTCCTCCCCTTCCCCTCCCGCTCTTAAGCCCCGATGTGCATCAAGCTCCAAAGCTTCCCGAGGGAGGCCCCTGCGCCAGGGAAACGGGCTCTGACACCGCGAGGTTTAAGGCACCCAAAGGAAGAGCTGCGCCGGAGGAGCCCATTACCCCGTGAGGAAGGGAAAACCCACTTTGAAAGCACTCAGAGCCTGGCAGAAGGAGAAAGCAGGAGCCATCCACGGCCCCTTTCCACCCCCATTTCCTGCCTGCTTCAAAAGCAGGATATGGACAGTAAATACCCCCCCCCCCAGCCCCGCGCATCCCTGTCGTGGTGCTTACGAGGATCCCAGAGCTATTACACACAAACCCCCCTCATCTTACGCAGGCAGAGCCGGGGCGAGCCAAAAAGGAAGAGCTCTGCCTTTGATCTGCAGGCAAGAAGTTGATGCTTAATCACAACGAAGAGGAAATGGCTCAACGCACACAATGATGGTGCAAGGTAGGAGCGCGTCCTGCCAAGGCAGGGACATGGAGCAGCCCCTCAAGGTGGTGCTTGAGGTGGGGAGGCTTGGGTGCTGCTCCAACAGGAGAAGAGAAGGCTCAGGGGGGACCTGATGGCTGCCTACAAGTCCCTGAGAGGAGGATGGAGCCAGGAGGGGCTGGGCTCTGCTCCCAAGGAACAAGGGATGGGACAAGAGGAACCGGCCTCAAGCTGCACCAGGGCAGGTTTAGATGGAGCTGAGGAACAATTCCTGCCCCAGAGGGTGCTCAGGCATTGGAACAGGCTGCCCAGGGCAGGGCTGCAGGCACCGGCCCTGCAAGTGTTCACACAGCGTGGAGAAGAGGCCTCAGTGCCATGGGGCAGTGGTGGCCTTGGCAGGGCTGGGAATGGTTGGACTGGATGGGCTTGAGGGGCTTTTCCAACCTGGTTGGTTCCATGGTTCCATGACCCCTGGCACGGTTTATGGTGGGGTTTTCCCCATCTGTATTTCCCCCCAGGCTATATTAATCTCCTAAGTCATTCATTATAGAACTCGTTTTTCAAGACCAAAGGGATGTGCCTTCCCTTCCTTGCAAATACCCCCCCAGACGTTATTGCTGGTGTCAAACAACAGCTGAATTACCTGCGGTGACAAAGGGGAGGTCATAAAAACATGGGATGGGCTGGGTTGAAGGGACCTCAAAGCTCCTCCAGCTCCAACCCCTGCCACGGGCAGGGACCCCTTCCACTGGAGCAGCTTGCTCCAAGCCCCTGTTTCCAACCTGGCCTTGAGCACTGCCAGGGATGGGGCAGCCACAGCTTCTCTGGGCACCCTGTGCCAGCACCTCAGCACCCTCCCAGGGAAGAGCTTCTGCCTAAGAGCTCAGCTCAGTCTCCCCCCGGGCAGGTTCAAGCCATTCCCCTTGGCCTGGCCCTACAGGCCCTGCTGAAACGCCTCTCCCCATCTTTCCTGTAAGTCCCTTTTAGGCGCAGAGAGGCCACAATGAGTTCTCCAGGACTCGGAGGTGCAGTTTGCACAACCCCGAGAGCTCAGGAACGCAGTCAGGACGCTCTATAAACTCAAACCGCGCTGTCACAGGCTTTATCCAGCCGGGAGCTGGAAGGACCTTGGGCTGGGAATGGTTTGCTCAGGGTTTAATGGGTGACTCAGGAGCGCTCCGCCCAGACCTGTGTATTTTCTACATGGGGAATGAGAAGTGGGAGTCGCAGGGTGAGAAACCGTGGCCCCCACCAGCAGCACGAGGACTTCATCTACAGCCCATGCCCTTGAGGTGCCAGCACAGAACATCAGCAGCACCCCATCCTGAGCAGGTCCAGTTCACCCCAACCCCACCAGGACACGGTGTCCCCATGCCCTGTCCTCCCTCTTGGTGCTCTGCGTCCCACACCCTGCGGTGATGGGGCCCTATCTCTCCCCTAAGGCAGCCCTGGGCCCTATCAGCCACCCCCAGGTCCCCAGTCTCATCCCTGTGCCTTATCCCCCCTCCCCAGGCCCTGTTCCCTATCTCTGCCCTGTCCCCAGGTGTGATCCCCCTGTCCCCATCCCGTCCTCTATACCGCACCCCCGTACCCTGTCTCAGGCCATGTCCCATGCCCCAGCCCCAAACTATCGTCCTCTATTCCCCTGTCCTCTGTCTCTGTCCCCATTCACTGTGCTTAGCACCTCTCCTTCCCCATTCCTGTCCTTGTCCCCCCATCACCTGTGCCTGTCCCATATCCTCCATCTCTGTACCCTTGTCCCCTCTGATCTCTATGCCCATCCCCATCCCTTGTGCTCGTCCTGTAAGTTCACCTCCAACCCCTTCTCCCATCCCTGTCCCCTATTCCCTATCCCTTGTCTCCATCCCCCATCCTCCCCTGTCTTCATTCCCCATCCCCTCTCCCCAATCCCTGTCCCGTCCTCCACCCTCTGTCCCTTCTCCCCATCCGATCCTCCCTGCCTGTCCCCTACCCCATCTCCTATCCTCCATCCCTACATCTCCCCAGTCCTCCATCCCTGTCCCCAGTCCTTCACAGAATCATGGAATGCTTTGGGTTGGAAAGGACCTCGAGATCACCCAGTTCCAACCCCCTGCCATGGCCAGGGACACCTCACACTAAACCATGGCACCCAAGGCTCTGTCCAGCCTGGCCTTGAACACTGCCACGGATGGAGCATTCACAACCTCCCTGGGCAACCCATTCCAGTGCCTCAGCACCCTCACAGTAAAGAACTTCTTCCTTATCTCCAACCTGAACTTCCCCTGTTTCAGTCTGAACCCATCACCCCTTGTCCTGTCACTGCAGTCCCTAATGAAGAGTCCCTCCCCAGCATCCTTGTAGCCCCCTTCACACACTGGAAGCTGCTCTGAGGTCTCCACGCAGCTTCTCTTCTCCAGGCTCAACAGCCCCAATGTTCTCATCCTGGCTCCATACAGGAGCTGCTCCAGCCCCTGCTCATCCTCGCGGCCTCCTCTGGCCTCGCTCCAGCAGCTCCATGTCCTTACGCTGAGGCCCCCAGCCCCGCACCCGCTGCTGCTCACATCCCGGTCCCCCCTGCCCCGTTCCCCGTCCCTGCCCCTCTCCCCCTTCCCCTCCCTCCCCGCCCGACTCCTCCCGGCTGCCCCGGCCCGGTCCCCGTGCTCCGCGCTGCGGGCCCCGCGATGCCTCCGGCCGCGGTGCGGGTGCTGCTGCTGGGGCTGCGGCCCTACCCGCAGGCGCTGCGGGTGCAGGAGCGCTGCGTGGCGGCGGCGCGGGCGGCCGCGGCCGAGAGCCTGGTGCTGAGCGAGCCGGCGGGGCCCGTGTACGCCTGGGGGCTGCGGGGGGCGCCGGGGCCGGCGGCGGCCGCGGGGCTGCGGGCGCGGGGAGCGGCGCTGGTGGCGGCGCGGCGCGGGGGCCACGTCACGTTCCACGGGCCCGGCCAGCTCCTGGCCTTCCCCGTGCTCGACCTGCGCCGCCGCCGCCTCCCGCTCCGCCGCTACGTGGGGGCCCTGGAGGAGCTGGGCCTGAGGCTCTGCCGCCGCCTCGGCCTCGGCGCAGCCCGCGCCCTCCCGCCGCCCTTCACCGGCGTCTGGCTCGGGGACAGCAAGGTCTGCGCCATCGGTGAGCGCCGCAGAGCGGGGGGGGGGCAACGGGAGCGGGGGGACCGGGGGGAACGGGAGGGGGGAACGGGAGCGGAGGGAGCGGGGGAGAAGGAACGGGAGGGGAGGGAACGGGGGAGAGGGAACGGGGGGGGCCACGGGAGCGGAGGGAGCGGGGGGGGGATCGATGGGGGAACGGGAGCGGAGGGACGGGGGGGAAGGAACGGGAGGGGGGACGGGAGGGGACGGGGGGGCAAGGGCGGAGGGACCGGGGAAGGGGGGAGGGGGGAACGGGAGCGGAGGGACCGGGGGAGAGGAACGGGGGGGCAACGGGAGCGGAGGGACCGGGGGAGAGGGAACGGGAGGGGACCGGGGGATGGGTTTAAGATGGGGGGGGAACGGGGACCGGGGCTGCGCAACGGGAGCGGAGGGACCGGGGGAGAGGGAACGGGAGGGGACCGGGGGATGGGTTTAAAATGGGGGGGGAACGGGGACCGGGGCTGCGCAACGGGAGCGGAGGGACCGGAGGGAGGGAACGGGAAGGGAGGGACCGGGGGATGGG